TATAGGACAATAACAAAGCTTGTCAATCAAGCTGCATCCTGACAAAGAGGTCCACTCTCCTCCAGTTCAGCCTTCAAGAGAATAGGTCATTTGTGTTGGTTCAGGCTTGGAAATGGGTAGATTCCATGCATCCTCAACTGCCAGCTCCTGAGACCAGTCTTCTCCTGAAATTTTCTCCGTACAGATTCCCAGGGTAAATAGTTGGGTGGGAGATGCGTGCACAGTACACACTGATCAGCCAGCCTGGTGCATCCAGGACCCACCAAGTCAGTGGAGTTCAGACTGCCCCCACCAAAGTGTATAACCATTTGAAAGGAGGCAGTGCACCCCCCAAAATCATTTCGCAGTGGCAGATTTAAACTGGCATCAGTCAGCCCACATCTGAACTGACCGCATGCTGGGGATGCTGACTTCCACAGCAATCAGTGCTCCCAGCTGTTTTATCAGAGGAAACCCCAGCAAGTTTGTGGAGTCTGATGCTGGCAAGGCAGTGCACCTTTCTCCAGCTCTGTCTTCAGGGGAAATGTGTGCATTTGAGTAGGAAAAGTCTTGGAATCAGGCAGATGTCTGGTGCCCCCCAAATAATCAGCGCCTTGGGACAGGCATGGCCTGTCCCTACAGCTGCCCTGTTCCAGCTCCCTGGACCCGCCCAGCTTGCACACTACACACCCCCTCGGCCTGCAGAGGGCAGCCTGTGCCCTACAAGTCTGTGGAACCAGGGCTAGTCTGCTTTGCCTTCTGGGTGGAGGCATACAACCCCAAAAATCTTTCTCAGGCAGCAACTTTATTTTTTATTTATCTATTTATTTTTTAATATAATTTACTGTCAAGTTGATTAACATACAGTGTGTAAAATGTGCTCTTTGTTTTGGGAGTAGATCTCCATGGTTCATCACATACAATACCCAGTGCTCATCCCAACAAGTGCCCTCCCCAATGCCCATCACCCACTTTCCCGTCTCCCCACACCCCATCAACCCTCAGTTTGTTCTCTGTATTTAAGAGCCTCTTATAGTTTGCCTCCCTCCCTCTCTGTTTGTAAGTAATTTTTCCCCTTCCCCTCCCCCATGGTCTTCTGTTAAGTTTCTCACAATCCACATATGAGTGAAAACATGATAGCTGTCTTTCTCTGACTGACTTATTTCACTCAGCAGTTCCATCCACGTTGATACAAATGGCATGATTTCATTCTTTCTCATTGTCAGGCAGCAACTTTAGACCTAGAACAGTCAGATCCAATTTGGACTGGCTGCCTGAAGGGGTCCCTGGCAGATATAGCATCCAAGGTCCCCAGGTCTGTCTTCTTGAAAACCGCCCAGATAATCACCCTAAGACATCACCACACCCTAAACCCTGATCCTGACCCTGGCTCTTAGAGAATTTGGTGTTGTCTATGTTTTGAGATTTTGGCTGTTCTAAGAGGTGTGTAGGGGCATCTCATATTGTTTTAATTTGCATGTTCTTTTTTTTTTTAATTTTTTTTCAACGTTTTTATTTTTGGGACAGAGAGAGACAGAGCATGAACGGGGGAGGCGCAGAGAGAGAGGGAGACACAGAATCGGAAACAGGCTCCAGGCTCCCAGCCATCAGCCCAGAGCCTGACGCGGGGCTCGAACTCACGGACCATGAGATTGTGACCTGGCTGAAGTCGGACGCTTAACCGACTGCGCCACCCAGGCGCCCCAATTTGCATGTTCTTAATGACATATGATGTTGAACTTCTCTTCATCTGCCATCTGTACATCTTCTTTGATGGCATGCCCATTTAGATTTTTTGCCCAATTTTTAACCAGGTTGTTTTCTTACTGTGGAGTTTTAAGAATACTTTGCATATTTTGGATAACAATTCTTTATCAGATATATCTCTCTGTAAATATTTTCTCCCAGTCTATGATTTGTCTCTGTATTCTCTTAAACTAATTATCTTTTTATTCAAGTCTATTTTTTAATTTCTACTTTAACACTAACTTAGGAAAGCACAATTCACTGAGATTTCCACTGCCAAGAATAGGTGCCGCTTTTCTGAATGGGACAGGAAGAGTGAATCGCATGATGACAGTTAAAGCAATCCCAAAGAAATAAAGGCAGAGTTCGTGTTCTTTGAACTTGGGAGAACAGTCTCTTGTTTACTTGGTCCCATGTTCATTAACAGCAAAAGGGTGAAACTGCAGTGTGCTACTTGTGGTGACAGACTAGCTGCTGAGGCAATGAGACTATCGGCACTGGAGCCACAGTCACAGGTAAAACGTAAGTAAATTGGTTCCAAACCAAATTCCTTGAGAGAGAGAGTATTAAGTTGAGAAGCTGGCAGCACCAGATTTTTAATATTTCACATACATAAACCAGTGCTTTTCAGGTTCTTGACAAAGTGGTACCTTGGTACCAAGTTACCAAACAAGTATACATGAAGGCTGACATGTTCATGGAAGACTGCGTCACAGGCTTGAAGCACCAAAGTCATCGCTTGAAAATATTGGGTGTGTCTGTGGCATAGAAAGAGCTTGGGCACAACTTTCCAAAGACACCACTTCTCAGCACATCAAGGAGCTGGTTAGTGAAATAGAAGTTCAGAGATAGAAGTCAGAATAAATGAAACTACCAAAAGATTTTCCATCATGGCCTGATGGACTGTTATGGATGACACAATGCATGTGTCATTTGAATACGACGATGATGCAAAATGAGAAATTTGTTTATAGCTTCATTGCCAACAAAACTGTTAGCTCTGAACCAATTTGAACCACGCACAGCAACATTGCCAACAGGTGTAGTTTGGAGACTGAGCTTTGTGTGGCGAGTCCTGATGGCACAGCTGCAGTGAGAAAAATGGTCTGGAGCAGCTGCCTGGAATGATGAACTTGCATCAGGATCTTAGTCAAAGCCCTGCCTTCTTTAATGACAATGTCTTGCCTGAAAAACATCCGACCCAAGCAGTGTGCTTAAAGAGGCAATAAAATTGTGACTTCCCTAACAACTGACACATTAAATTCAAGATCATTCTCTTTATTCTGTACAAAATGGAAGCTCATCATAAGCAACTGGTGATACATTTTTAGATAGGGTAGTTATCAAGGGGAGGGGGCCCAGCTGAGAATGCTTGACGAGGATGGGCTCCTAGCGTTTCGGCAAGAAATGAAGGCTTGTGGCCCCAGCTCATTAACATCATGAATCAGACAGTCTGACTCCCTGATTTATCTAATATCCTCAATATTGAAAGATATTAATATTTCCGTGCAAGAACAGAATGCCATGCATTTTCATTAAGACACATAAGGTCAGAGAGCACGCATAAATGTTAAAAAACCAGAAGAACAGGGGTGCCTGGGTGGCTCAGTTGGTTAAGCTCCTGACTTTGGCTCAGGTCATGAACTCACGGTCTGTGAGTTCGAGCCTCACGTCCGGCTCTATGCTGACAGCTCAGAGCCTGGAGCCTGCTTTGGATTCTGTGTCTCCCTCTCTCTCTGTCCCTCCCCCACTCGTGCTCTGTCTCAGAAATAAACAAACATTAATAAAATAAAATAAAAATAAAAAACCAGAAGAACAGAGGCTCATGCAGATTGTGATAATGAATTCCATTATTAACAAGTATTGTTTTGGCATTTGCACATCTGTGAAAACTGTAACCAAACACCTTATGAACCAATAAGATGTGGAGTTTTTTGATTGAACATTTTAAATATAATTTTCCGTCAAATAAAGACACTGCTGCAATGAGGATGTTAATGGATGCTGAACCTATTTGCCCCCAATTGTTAGCCAAACCGAACCAGAAAACGGAAGCTGGGAGCCTCCTGGGGCACCGAACCAGAATTGGCAGAGCAGCGAGAGTCTGAAGGGCCAAGGGGAGGCCTCCATCACCAGTGTCAAGAGGAGGCACTTGTGTTTTGCTGTATTTTGCTTGAAATCGGGTGACGTTAGAGCATAATAAATGCTGACATGCATAACGTGATAGAGATAAAACCCTGATTTGTAGAGAGAGGGGCAGTAAGTCCTCCATTGGGGAGGCCTTTGTTGCATTGCCATTGGTGTGTGAAGACAGGTCCTTGCATACGACACGAAGACACACAGATATATGCCTGCAAAGAAAGGCAGACATAGATGCAGTGTCGGGACTGTGTGTAGTTTCTCTTCTGATTTCTTCAGTTTCTCAGTGAGATACAAGTCAAGGCCCAGAAGGTAAGATGAGAGGGGCAGTGTGATAAGCAGCCATCTCAAAGGATGTGAGGACACCCACCCTGGAGACCTAGAAGTCATGGGCGGCACCAAGGACCCACCCAAGGTGAAGTCTTGACAAGAGGTTGGCTGAGTTGGTAGGTGGAAGGAGAGAGGTGGAGTCATCCAGCACTAGGGGGAGGGGAGAGAGGGGATGGAGCACAGCTGCAAGCAAGGGAGGGGTGCGGTATAATGGCGGTGCCGTGAATCCAGGGCATGGAAGTGTGTGTGCACTGTGATGGTCAGCCAGGCTGGGCACCAGAGGCAGCAAGCTGAGGAACAGAGGACGTAGTCAGAGGGAGGGCACTTGAACTAGAAATGGAGGAACATAGCCATTGGTGTTGTGGAGGCCAGGGAATGAGCTTGGCAGTGGCTGACTGAAGGAAGGAAAGGTGAGGTGGCCAGGAGAAGGGGGTTAGAACCTAGGTGGATTAGGTATGTGCCAGCAAAGTCACCACGATCAGTAATGAGCAAGACTGACGCCACTGCTCAAGTCCTCATCAACTGTGAGATGGTTGGAGGTTCTGTCCCCGACACTGCCCAGGAAAGGCTGCAGGGCAACTGCTAACAGCTTGTGCTTCCAGGGGCTGGGGTTTGTGGAAGAAGAGAAGCCACGATCCAGATGCAGCCAGAGGGGTACCCAGTCCACCTCCAGCAGGACAACACTCTGCAGAGGTGGGAGGAAAATGGAGAAGAGGAGGAATTAAAGCTGGGTGGACTGGTCTCCATTAGAGCCCAGCCTGCCGGTCAGAATCATCTGGAGGGATTCAGAACAACAGAAGCCCAGGTGGTGCCCCCGGGGACACTGCTTCTGAGCTACATCAAAGTCCAGGGCTGGCACTTTTAAACATCCACCCAGGTGACACAACAGGCAGCCAGAGACCAGTGAGTGAAGGACGGTGATGGGCACAGCCCAGCGCAGGGAATAGAGCCGGTCACATTGTAATAACTTTGTACGGGACAGATGGGAGCTCTGAGTAAGGGTATTGTGGAATCACTATGTTGTACTCCTGAAACTAATGTAACATGGTGTGTCCACTAGGCTGCCAAGTGGCCATCCCGGAAGCCACGACCCCTGAGGCCTTTGGGGACCGGGGCTCCACATTGCCTTGAGTACAGTCTCACTGATGCAGCCACATTGTTTTGTTACAGGTGATCTCAGTACACATTATTTGTCCTGTATTTTTGGAATTATGTGTATGAACAGGTTAGACCATCTCTGGATTTTGTTGTGTGCCAGCAAAGAGAATTGCAGTCACCTGCGTGGCTGAGAAGCTGTGTTCAGGAGGACACAGGACAAGGGTCTGGTGTCTGTGACAGACTCAGGACCAGGTGGAGGTGAGTGAGGGACAGGGCGACAAAGTCACCATGGTAATCAAGCCTCCCCCACACCTCCCTCCAAAGTCTGAATGAGGAGCCCCCAGGGCCGGCCAGGGGCTAAACCCCTGAGTCCTCACGGGCACCTGAGGGTGAGCATGCCAGTCCAGCAGGATGCCATCAGTCACCACCAGGTGGCAGCAGGGGACAGGAGAGGGGCCAGGCCCCACACAGGAATAGCTGCTCCTGGGCCCGATTGGTTGGCCGCCCAGGTGTCTCAGCCTCCTATCTCCATTCTAACATAGAACCATCTCCCCCAAATCCTACACTTCCCGGGGCTCGCCTGCCATAGAAGGAAAATAAGTTTCGGGTGACCCTTCCTCGCTTCCTGCCGTGACGGGATAATCCCACCAGTCCCCAGGCGTGGCCTGACTCCTCTCGCCTCAGTCCCTCTGAGGCGACCTCCACCCCCTGGACCCTGCTATCCACTCGGGCCTCCTGCAGCCCTGGGCCCATCTCCCACTACCCAGACTCTCAGGCCCGGGAAGTCCCCTACCCCTGCCCCAGTGGCATGTTGAGGCATGTTGAGCAGAGCAGGGATTCCCAGCCAAAAAGAAAGGTTTGAGCCCAACCCCAGAACCTGTCACCCTCAGCCACAAGCCAGGCATGGCCGGAGGCCCGTGATGCCCCAGCCCCCACTGTTCTTCCTCAGCGACCTCACATCTGACTTTCTCCCACGTCCACTCAACTCAACCACAAGCCGACTGCCCCAAGCACAGCACCCCAAGCCTGCTGCTCCTTGACACCCGTGGGGGCCCAGGGTGAGGACACACCCCTGGCTGTCCAACTTGTGCTCTCACTGCCAAGGTCTTGACGGGCAGGTTGGGCCCGCCCCCAGGCCAGGTGCCGCCTGTGGGGCATAAAGCCTGCAGAGGCAGCTCCTTAGGGAGCTCTGCTATCTGCCATGAAGGGGAGAAGCACCCTCCTGCTGGTGGCCCTCACCCTGCTCTGCTCCTGCGGTGAGTCTGTGTGCTTCCAGCAGGGCCCATGTGTGGGGGGCAGACAGGAACCTGGGGGGCTAAAACCCAGGCACTAGGCCCTTCACAAGGTTGGGCGGCGGCCTTCCCAGGTGCCCGACCAGCCTCCATCACAGAACACAGATGTGGGCAGATGCCCCCGATGCTCCCGCCAACCCCAGTCCCCACCCAGCCCCAGCTCCAACCTCTGCCCCAGCCCTAGCGTCACCAAGCCCAATGTCACCAACCCAGCCCAGCCTGACCCCAACCCTCCAAGCCCCAGGTCAGCCAACCTCACTCAGAGGGTGAATTCCAGCCACATTAGGGTCTTGCCGCCCCTTCCCTAGTAATGCCAGGGAACCCCAGAGTGGGAGACGCTGCCAAGGCTAGGGGTGACAGGAGGGGTCTGTGGCCAGGTAGAGTTAGGGGGTATTATGGAGTAAGACCTGGGGGAGGTGAGGCAGGGTGATCATGGGGGCACACCTGGGGCAAGTGAGGTGGGCATTGATGCAGAAGTTCTGGACACCGCCGAGGCTGGAGTGCTGGGAGGTCTGGGGTGGGCTGGAATGGAATTCTCTTGTGCTGGTGTCACCTTGCCCCCACCTCACAGGGCTGGCCATCGGGGATGACAACAGTGACTTTTTCATGGACTTCCTGCAAACGCTGCTGGTGGGGTCCCCAGAGGAGCTATATGAGGGACCTCTTGGCAAGTACGATGTCAATGCAGATGCCAAGGCAGCACTGACGGAGCTCAAGTCCTGTATCGATGGCCTACAGCCTATGCACAAGGCAGAGCTGATCAAGCTGCTGGTACCAAGGCTGGGGTGGGGGCGGGGGGGTCACCCCATTCCCTGAAGGTCCGCAGCCCCAGCAGGACACACAGCCCTGCCCCACTAGCCCTCCACCAAATGCTATGACTCCTGATTATCACCCCAATACAGCCACCACCCCACAGACACCTTGACCTGCCTCAGTCAGCAGAAGTGGACATCCCAGACCTCACTCCCCCAGAGCAGCCTCAGCCTCCCCTAAGAGCACATACATGCATATGGCACACCCACATACAAGTACGCACCACTTCCGCCGTTGCTAGGAGGGGACTGGCTGAAGTGTGCCAGAGCCTACGGTCCTCCAGGGGCTGGCCTGGGCCTACCCGCCCAACAGGATGGGCTTTCTAGTTATCGATCACCAGGTATGGGACCCCCAGCCCTCTTGGCCCACACCCGTCTGCCTTCCAGGTGCAAGTGCTGGGCAGTCAAGATGATGCATAGCGGACCCCAGTCATGTCTCCAAGCAGCCACAGGACCAGCTACACAAGCAGCAATGGCCACACTGCCCCATTACCACTTCTCCGCGTGTAAATTTATCACAAAACTGTTCAATCAATAAAGCCTCCTGCAGCTCAGGCTCTGGCTCCTGTCTCTCCCCACAGTCAGGGACACAACCGCATGGATATGCGGATTCACAGACACGGGGTCACATCCGCAGAGCATGCACGTAGAAGTTGCCCCACACAGAGGGCAGACCCACCAGACCCCCATGTAGGCGGACAGAGCAAGACGGACAGGCAGGGGAGTGGACGCAGGAAGGGCTACAGAGGCAGCGGTGGGGTGCAGGACCAGTGCGTCAGAGGCGGCAGGGCAAAGAGCCCCAGGCCAACGATGAGGCTAGAACTGGGAGGTCAGGCTGGGGGCGTTCTGCGTCTGAAGACTGTCATTCCAAGACAATAAATATCCACAATATACACCTGGCACAGGTCCAGGGGTTGAAAGCATTCCCCCTAAAGTCACCCAAGGAAAGAGTCTGTCCGGAAGACGTGCAGACCCGAGCCCTATCCCCAAGAGGAACCTTGACAAAGTGGAGAAGAAAGTGCACCTGGTCTTGAGGACACCCGTGGTCGAGGGGTGGGCATGGCCAGCAGTGGCACAGGAGGGAGAGCAGGGTCTGGAAAGGTTCCGCAGAAGGGCAGCAGCTCAGCGCCACCCCCCAAACTCCACAACCAGCGCTGACCCTACCCTCACCCAGGATCCCAACTGCTGGAGCCTTCTTGTGCCTCAGTTTCCCCAGATCAGTGGTCTTCACTGGAAGCAAGGCTGACTAGGTTCATCTCGGCCCCTCACAATCTTTGCTCTCTGGCCACTCCAGCTCTGGGCCCTGTGGCCTCACCTTCCAGTACAGAACCTCACTGTCCCTTTTCCCGCCCTCCAAGCCTCTGCCCTACCCACCATAGTGAGGAGCAGAGCAAAGTCCTGACCTGAGCCATGCCTGGTGAGGGTGGGGGTCCCCTGGGCAGAGGCCATTGTCTTCATCACACAGATAGTGATCTAGAACCTGCTGTCCCACTGAGCTGCATTCTAGAGCTCAGGGGCCAGGATCTCTCCCCACCCCCACCCAATTCTCCAAGCCCCCTGGGAAGAGGAGACAGAGGGAAAGGCCTTCCTTTCCATGCCCCTTTTTTGGGAACTGCCTGGCATTGAGGCCGGTGCGACGGGACGACCTCCAAGGAGGCCCGGTCCATAGGTTGCTCTGAGTGCAGCTCCTGGACCGAAGAGGTAAGGGCCCCTCTGGAGTGGCCCTCTCCCTGCCCCACAGCACAGCCTCAGCCAAGAAGTTTTCCACCTTTGCCCACCACTCCCTGCCCAGTGGTGCCCAGCATCCCCTGAATAGGAGGAAGCTACCCAGAGCCCCTGCAGAGCCAGGGAAGTGTGGTCAGTGAGGCTGGAGGAGACAGCCCTTCCCAGCTTGTGAATGAGGGTCTAATGCTCCTCCTCTTGGAGGCTGGTGAGGGCAGAGCAAGCCCACTGCTCCAAGCATAACCTCTGTGTAGACCCCAGCTCAAGACCTTACTAAGGAGGCTGTGGCCTGCAGTTCTGCCCACCAGTGTGGACAAGACAGGGATAGGGTGGGGAGTTGGGACTTCCCAGCACCTGGTCACCCTTCCATCCATGGACAGAGCCAGCCATGGCAGAGGAAGTATGGGTGGGCACCTGGAGGCCCCATCGCCCCCGGGGGCCCATCATGGCCCTCTACAGCAGCCCAGGACCCAAGTACTTGATTCCACCCACCACGGGTAAGAGCCTGGGAGCCTGGGATGGGACTGGGGTAGGGGAAGAAGCCAGCTCTGAGGTGGGCTCGGGATGGGCCTGGAGAGGGTCTGGGAGGGCATGGGGCGGGTCTGGGGAGGTTCTGGGAGGGTCAGGGAGGTCTGACGAGGGTCTGGGGAGGGCATGGGTGGGCCTGGGGTGGGTCTGGGGAGGGTCTAGGGAAAGTTTGAGGTGGGCCTAAGGAGGGTCTGAGTGGGGGCAGCGGGTGGGCCTGGAGAGGCTCAGAGCAGGGAGGGCATTGGGAAGGCTGGGGGCTCATCCCTGACTCCCAGCCCATCAACCCCTCTGGGGTCAATAGGGTGGGGAGAAGGACGGCATCTTACTCCGGGCTGCTCAGAACCCCTGCCCCACAGGCTTTGTGAAGCACACACCCACCAAGCTGCGTGCACCAGCCTACAGTTTCCGTGGGGCCCCCATGCTCCTGGCAGAGAACTGCTCCCCAGGGCCCCGCTACAGCGTGAACCCCAAGATACTGAGGACTGGCAAGGACCTTGGCCCTGCCTACTCCATCCTGGGGCGCTATTGTACCAAGACCATCATGACCCCTGGCCCCGGTAAGTGAGCCTGGCCCAGCAGCAGACCTGCCCAACCCTGATGGTGGCCACTGCACGTCCTGTCCAGGTGAAGGTGTGAAGGAGCACAGGCATCCTGGCTCTCCTGTCCCCTCTTGTTCCTCTCGAGGGACACCATCAGGCCCAAAGCAGCCTCGGAGACCCTCAAGCCCAGCTCTAACTTGGGCTTTTCTTGCCCTACGTCCCCACACCAGGCCCACACCAGACTCTGCCCTTCCCCCTCCAAAGCTGCACCTGTCCCGCCCACTCCTGCAACTCCGGGACACCCCTAACCAATCTCGGTCACCATCCCCTCCCAGCACACCCTCCGCTCTTCTCCCGAGCCAGGTGACTACTTTCCAGAGAAATCGGCCAAGCACGTGTTTGACTCAGCACCCAGCCACTCCATTTCTGCCCGAACCAAGACCTTCCGAGTGGACAGCACCCCAGGTGTGCACCAGCCCTGATAGCCAACATCCGACCAGGGTGGACACCCGGGGGGTGGGGGAGGTGAGACAGGGTAACCTGATGGCTGCACTCCTAGAAGTAGCAAACTTCAGGAAAGGAGCTGAGACTCTGGATGCAGGATTCTGTCCAACCTGAGACTCACTGCCTGTGCGCCCCACAGGCCCTGCCGCCTACATGCTGCCTGTGGTCATGGGGCCCCACACCGTTGGCAAGGCGTCCCAACCCTCCTTCTCCATCAAAGGCCGCAGCAAGCTGGGCAGCTTCAGTGACGACCTTCACAAGGCAAGGGTCCCCCCCACCCCCCCACGGCACAGCACTGTTCATCCCCCAGAGACAGTCCATCTGGCCCTTCCTCCCCAGAACCCAGTCCCATCAGAGTGAAAGCTATCAGCTCTTCACCCTCCGGTGTCTGCCACATGCATGGCACCACCCTGTCCCCTGCACCCCCAGGTTACATTCCTGGAGTGAGGAAGGGCAGACAATGGACAAGGACGGAGATAGCAACAGTGCCGGGGGAGTGGAGCAAGGAAGGAATTTATGGAGTGCTGCAGGGAGGGTGGGAGCAGTCTTCGATAAGGTGGCATGCAGGAAAATAAGAAGGAGAGGAGTAAAATGTGAGATATTTGGGGGAGGAGGGTTCCAGCTGCAGAAACAGCCAGCGCAAAGGCCCTGAGGTGGCCATGTGTTCAGGAGGTTGAGGAGCCTGGGGAGACTTCCAAAGTGGTTTCACAGCACTGCTGACCCCGCCAGTCCAGCCCACGGCCATCAAATCCCACAGGACAGAATCCCAGCTACAAAGGGGCCTCTCCTGCACACACCAAAGGGACAAGCCTGGGACTGACACACACTGAGGTGTCATCGCCTTGGTGAGGCTTCAGTAGAGGAGTAATGTCCCACACAGAGAAGGTCATCCCACCGTGTGACTGTTGTCTGGAGACAGAAGGGACCCCTGGACACACAGACACACAGTGACTCAAGGCTTGAAACGCACTGTCCG